CCAAGCCAGGGCTAAAATCTAAAAGCAAGCCATTTCATATTTTCAGGTAATATTTAAACATAGCTTCTCGTCGAAGCCCCATCATAACGCGATCCCGTAGTCGAGCCCAGAGGAGTCGTGTAAACATGAGTTCACAACCGGAACCATCGGATAGGTTTGCTGCTACCGCCCAACCCGAGACCGCGAGTTTAGGGGTTCAGCTAACCGAAATGCTTACTAAGTTTGGTGAGATGGCCACCGAGATGGCGGCCCAAAGGAAATTGATTGATGAGCTTATCAGTAGCGGAGTTCAACCCGAGCCCGTACCCGTCAGTCAACCTGAGCAAGAACCATTTGTCATACCCCCGACTCAAACTACTGTTATACCATCTTTCCCTATTCCACCCGAAGGAACTTTCACCTATCCCACCATAAATTTTCCATACACTTACCCTCCTAATCCTTCATTTTTTCCTACTCACATGCAAGGCCCACAACCCCAAGCCACTTCAAATATACCACCTGAGCCACATACCTTTTATCACACTGCTGCTGAGCCATTCCTGCCAGACCATATTGTCCAAGCTAAGCCAGAAATAGGGGAATCTTCTGCTCCCGTTGATATGAAGCTGCTCAAGCGCCTAGACCGTTTCGATGAGTTTATGAGGAAAAGTCAGGGGTTGAACAAGCAAGGAGTCCTGGACTACGATGAGCTTTGCCTTTTTCCGAATGTACAGTTGCCCGAAGGGTTCAAAACTCTAAAATTTAACAAGTATGATGGGACGGGTAATCCCAAAACACACATTCGACTGTTTGCTAACAAGTTGGGAAAGCCTGTAGACGACGAGAATTTGCCTTTAAGGTTGTTCCCCGAAAGTCTGGAGGGGGATGCACTCGACTGGTACTCCAACCTGAAGCCCGAGGAAGTAAAAACCTGGATTGACTTGTCCAATGCTTTTGTAAGGCAATACGAGTATAACTGCGAGCTGGCTCCGACGCGAACCACGCTGGAAGGAACAAAAAGAAAACCCTCTGAGGATCACAAGACTTATGCCAAGAGGTGGAGGAAGATAGCTGCAAAAGTCGAGCCACCAATGACTGAGGACGAAATCATACGCACTTTCATTAAAGCACATGATCCGCCGTACTTTGAAGAAATTTTCCGCATGACTGGATGCTCGTTCGCCGCCATTGTCAATAAGCTTGAGGAGTACGATGACTTTGTAAAGGCTAGAAAGATCGTTAATGTCTCTGCCCTCAAATCACAGTTGGATGCCTTACAAGGACAAGGGAGTAGTGGGAAAAAGCCACAATTTAAGAAGAAAGTGGGGGAAGCTGCCTTCATTTGGGATCAAAACCCTACGCCAAGACCCAGATTTCAACATAAACCAACATATTCGCCTTATCCCTACTATCCAAGTCCTTACCCTGTCTACAATACCAATATCTCACACCCCCGACCTCGCCCAAACTATGCCAACCCGCCTACGACCCCTTTTCAAATACCCCAACCTAACTTTCAACAAACTCGTCCTCGACCTCCTTACCCTCAAAGATTTCCCCCACCAAACAGACTCACCTACAACTATCCCCAACCTACTGAAACCTACAATCAAAATTGTGCTCGAACATTCACTAACCTTGGCAGGCCTTTGGATCAGTTGTACGAGCAATTAAAGGCTGCCGATAAAATAGGTGTGATTCTCCCTCCAGCTTACCCGTATGGCGTGCCAACTGGGTATAATCCACAGGCTACTTGTGCTTATCATTCAGGAGCTCCTGGTCACTCCACGGCCAATTGTCGACTCCTTAAACATAAGGTTCAAGACATGGTAGAAGCAGGGGAGATCGTGATTAGGAAAAGAGAAGAGCAAGGACCGAATGTGAACCAGAACCCCTTGCCAGAGCATGCTGGTACTGTTGGAGTTATTATGGATGATGAGGAATTCAAAGAGGTTGTCCGGAGCATGTCAAATGAGGTAGAAACGTGTGGGATAATGGAGCAACCTTTTGTGATAGAGGAAGCATCATATAAGGAAGACAAAAGGCCCTTCATTTTAGACCTAACCCCATCCGAAAGTGCGGCCTTAGAACCTGTGATAATTGAATTCCCAGAACAAGTGCCAGTTTTGAGTTTACAACAAGTGCCGTGGAATTATAGTGAGCCAGTTTTGCAAATCGGGGGCAAACCCATTTTGAAGGAAGAAGTGTCTGTTGTTACGAGGTCAGGGAAGATTGCAAGTCCATCCGCTGCTAGCGCCCCAGTTCAAGTAAGTAATCGTGAGCCGGCTACCAAACCCGCAGTGACCAAAAGAGAAGCGTGGGATTTTCTCAAGAGGCTTAAGAGAAGCGAATACAATGTGGTCGAACAGTTGAGCAAAATGCCTGTCCAAATTTCCATTTTAGACTTGCTTTTCTCCTCCGACTTGCATAGGGATGTATTACTAGAAGTTTTGACTAAGGCTCGTATTCCCAAGGATATTTCGGTTGACAATTTCTCGCACATAGTTGGAAATGTACTGACTACTAAACAAATCACTTTTTCTGATGAAGAGCTGCCTGTAGAAGGAACTGGTCATAACAAAGCCTTGTATGTAGCTGTGAGGTGTAATGGAAAAATGTTGCCTAAAGTACTGATCGACAATGGGTCTGCCCTCAACATTTGTCCTTGGAGCACGTTGGTGAAGTTAGGGTTGCAAGATGTTAAATTAAAACCCTCAGAGACCGTAGTTCGAGGATTCGATGGAGCCCAGAGGGAGTCCATAGGAGAAGTAAATTTGGTGTTCGAAATGGGGCCCACACAATTTCAGATAGCCTGCCAAGTTATGCACTTTCCTAGTGTCTATAATGTTTTGCTCGGGCGGCCGTGGATTCATAGCTCGGGCGCTGTGCCCTCTTCCCTGCATCAAGTACTGAAATTCGTGGTGAACGACCAGCTGATAACCATTTTTCCTGAGGAAGATTGCATTGTAATTACCGATTCCGAGCCTGAGGAGGATGGTAACCGAAATGCTTCAGTGTCTTCTTACCGTACAGCTGATATTGTCTCCGTGAGTTGGATAACAAGTGAGGATTCAAAAGACAAAATGGTTTTGCCAAGCGCCAGTGTCATGATGGCCAAAAAGATGATTCGCGGAGGATATGAATTTGACAAGGGATTGGGACGCAATTTGCAAGGCATGTTGAAACCTGTGGAACTCATCGAAAAGAAGGACCTGTTTGGTTTGGGATTCCGTCCGACTGCCAGAGATATACAAGAGATGAAAACACGCAAAAGGGCAGAGAAAGAAGGCAAGTTAGGTGCCTTAGACATTCCGCCATTATGCTATACCTTCCCAAGGCCGGCTGAAGTCATTACATCTAAATTTAGTCCAATTGACGAAGTGGAGACAAGCTTGACTTATTTGTTTGTGGGAGCAATATCCGAAAATGGCCCGTCAGATGATGCCGAATTCCCAGACATTCCCCAAGGAGCTATACACAACTGGACCGCCGAGTACTTCCCCGTGCGAAAGGAGTTTCGGTAAATCTACAGGGGGTTGTTGTTTATTAAAGCTCATGAAAACTTTTCTTGCATATGTAAATAGTTCAATGAAAGTATCTTTTGCACTTATATTTTAGCTTGTTTCCGTTTTGATTTGAAGTTTTACGAAAGTGCATAGTTTGTTTTATCATGTCGTTCATTCATGTGTCTATTTGCTTATTGTCTCGAATTTCTTAATTCTTTCAGATGGCTAAAAGTAAAATTATTTGACCCTTTGGATATCACTGTTCTGGAATCTGATGATGACAATCTCTATATCACTCACGACTTGGAAGTTATGGAATCCGAATTTCAAAGCGAGAGTGATAGTGAGGAAGTGTTTGATTCTTTTTCAAAAGATCTTGAATAATATGAGGAGAAATCTAAACCGAACCTGGAAGAAACCGAAATTGTTAACATTGGTACTGAGATTGAGGTTAAGGAAATACAAATCAGCATTCATTTGAACAAAAAGCAGAAAGAAGAGATGATCGAATTTTTGTCTATGTTCCGAGATGTGTTTGCATGGTCTTATGACGATATGACTGGCATTTCGACTGATGTAGTAGTGCATAGATTACCCACAAACCCAGATTTTCCACTAGTAAAGCAAAGACCCCGTAAATTCAAACCAGAAATGAGCCTCAAAATAAAAAAGCAAATTGAAAAACAGCTTAAGACTAATATTATCATTGTATCCCATTACCCTGTTTGGCTCTCCAATCCAGTCCCTGTTCCCAAGAAAAATGGAGAAGTGCGAGTCTGTGTTGACTATAGGGACCTTAATAAAGCCAGCCCTAAAGATGACTTTCCTTTGCTAAATATTCATATCATTCTAGACAACACTGCCGGACACGAAATTGAATCTTTCTGTGATTGTTTTGCTGGGTACCATCAGATCTTAATGGCTGAGGAGGATAGAGAAAAGACTGCATTTATCACCCCTTTGGGCACCTTTTGCTATCGAGTAATGCCGTTTGGTTTAAAGAATGCCGGAGCTACTTATCAAAGGACTATGACTACTTTGTTTCATGACATGATCCACAAGGAGATGGAGGTCTACGTGGATGACATTATAATCAAGTCCAAGAAAGCCGAGGACCATTTGATGGATTTAAGGAAGTTGTTTGAAAGGTTGCGAAAGTACAATTTGAAGTTAAATCCTGCAAAGTGCGCCTTTGGAGCACCAGCTAGTAAATTGTTAGGTTTCATTGTCAGCAAGAAGGGCATAGAGATAGACCCGGTAAAGATCAAGGCAATTCGAGACATGCCAGTGCCGAAAACGCAGAAAGATGTGAAAAGCTTTTTGGGGAAGATTAACTTCATTGGAAGATTCATTGCCCAATTAACCGCGACGTGTGAGCCACTATTCAAGTTGTTAAAAAAGAATGTGCCGTTGCATTGGAATGAGGAATGCCAACAAGCTTTTGACAAGATTAAAGATTATTTGCTGTAGCCTCCGGTCCTAGTGCCACCCAAACCGGGCCGGCCTTTGATCATGTACTTATCTGTGCTCGACGGAGCGGTAGGGTGTGTTCTAGGTCAGCACGATGACTCGGGAAGGAAAGAGCAAGCCATCTACTATCTTAGCAAGAAATTCACGCAGTATGAGGCTAATTATTCATTTATCGAGAAAAGCTGCTGTGCTTTGGCCTGGACAGCTCAAAAGTTAAGGCACTACCTGCTAAGTCATACTACCTACCTCATTTCCCGCTCCGATCCTTTGAAATACCTCTTGGAGAAGCCGATGCCAACTGGGCGTCTAGCCAAATGGCAGATGATTCTTTCGGAGTTTGACATTGTTTTCACTTCGCAAAAGGCCGTCAAGGGGCAAGCTATAGCCGACCATTTGGCAGAAAATCCAAAGGACGATGATTATCAACCGCTCCATACCTATTTCCCTGATGAAAAAGTTTTATTTGTTGATGCCGTAGAAGATATGAGCGAGCAGTGCCCGGAATGGAGATTGTTTTTCGATGGTGCAGCTAATTCTTTTGGAGTCGGAATAGGAGCAGTCCTTGTATCCCCGGAAGGGAGGCATTACCCTGGAGCCGCTAAGTTGCAGTTTGCTTGCACGAACAACATGGCCGAGTATGAAGCATGTATTTTTGGTCTTAAAGTGGCTTTGGAAATGGAGGTCAAGGAGTTAATAGCTTTTAGTGATTCAGATTTACTTGTGCACCAAACGTTAAAGTAGTGGGTAACCAAAGATTCAAAAATCCTGCCATACCACTGTAATTTGCTCAATTTGGTTAAACAATTTCAAAGTTTGGAATTCAGACATCTCCCACGAGCTCGAAATGCATTTGCAGATGCCTTGGCCACTTTATCTTCCATGATACAATATCCGAACGAATTGGGAATCGAGCCTATCCGGATTCAACTCCAAGACAAGCCTGCTCATTGTTGGGTCATAGACAAGACTTCTGGCAAAAGTCCTTGGTACAATGATATTAAGGAATTCATCAAAACCGGATCTTACCCTCCGGAAGCTAGTACAAATGACAAGGGTTTCCTGCGCAGAATGGCCTCGAAGTTTTTCTTAAATGGAGAGGTATTATACAAAAGGACCTCAGATTTGAACCTCTTAAGGTGCGTCGATGAAGATGAAGCTCAATACATGATGAAGGAGGTGTATAGCGGCGTCTGCGGACCCCACATGAATGGACATTTGTTGGTGAAGAAAATCATGAGAATCGGGTATTTTTTGCTTACAATGGAACGCGATTGCATAGATTTTGTCCGGAGATGTATTAAATGTCAAATGCATGGCGACGTCATACGCGCTCCTCCTACCGAGTTACATAGCATGATTGCTCCATGGCCCTGCTCAATGTGGGGTATGGACGTGATTGGCACAATTGACCCGCCTGCTTCAAATGGGCATCGATTTATATTGGTGGCAATTGAGTACTTCACCAAATGGGTCGAAGCGGAATCATTCAAGCACGTGACAAAGAAGGTGGTGGCGAATTTCTTAAGAGATCACATCATATGCAGATTTGGGGTGCCGGAAACATTGATTACAGACAATGCCAAGAATCTCAACAATGATATGGTGGACGGGTTATGCGAACAATTCAAAATCAGACATCGCAACTCTGCCATCTATAGACCGTAGATGAATGGAGCTGTGGAGGCCGCAAACAAGAATTTGAAGAAGATCATCCGCAAGATGACTGAAAAGCATCGTGACTGGCATGAAAAACTCCCTTATGCACTAATGGCGTACCGGACTTCTATCCGAACATCAACTGGGGCAACGCCCTACTCTCTCATGTATGGAATGGAAGCAGTGCTGCCTGCCGAGGTCGAAATCCCTTCATTGCGTATTCTAATGGAGACCAAGTTGGAAGAGGCTGATTGGATAAAACAGCGTCATGAACAACTATCTTTGATTGATGAAAAACAGCTTAATGCCATTTGTCACGGCCAATGTTACCAAAAGCGCATGGCCCGGGCCTACAACAAGAAGGTCCATTTGCGTACATTTGAGGAAGGCGACAAAGTACTGAAGCGGATTTTGCCAATGCAAGATGAGGCCAAAGGCAAATTTGCTCCGAATTGGCAAGGGCCATTCATTGTTCAAAAAGTATTACCTGGTGGAGCACTTATTTTGGCAGAAATGGATGGACAAACATTTCCTCAACCTATCAACTCGGACATGTGCAAGAAATTCTTCATTTGATTATGCAAAACTTCTTTTAGAAATTCGTGCAAATGATGAAATGCAAGTCGGGCCATCTTCTTTTCCATTTGAAACATTCAATCCCTAGTCGTCCCTTTTGAGCTATCAGACTAATAATTTTCGTTTGGCAACCCCTGAGAATTGCAAACCCCACACTGGGGCAAATTTATTGTGAGAAAGAGAAAAAAAACAACAACAAGAGAGGAAAACCCCACACTGGGGCAAATTTAGTTTTTCTAAAGAAAAAATGCAAAGGTAAGGAAAATGCAATGAAAAATGCAAAGAGAGAAAATCCAATCAAACTGGGGCAAAATTTTCCTCAAGTTTTTCGTTCAAAATTGGAGATGATTTCAAAATGATGCAATCTCAGGTTATTTCGCACTTCTCATTTGAAAAAAAAAATAACATCTTTGCTTTCAAGCCTCAACTTTCTTGAAAACACCCCACCTGACCTCGTTACAAAAAACTCAGAGTCCTGGCTTTCGTCACTTGCTGAATTTCTATTAGGAGTTTCGCTAATCACTGGCAAGTGATGTCCATAATGCCTTCACCTAAAACTTATAAGGGAAGTGCATTTTACTGATGCCAGCAATTTTCAACTCGCACTCCTGAGTCGATCATGGTCGAGCTTTTCCATTGTTCCTTAGGTGAAAACCCGAAAGGACACCTCAAAAAAAAAAAGAGAAAAAAAAGAAGGAAAAAGGAAAAAACAAAACAAAACAAAACAAAAGCAAAAAGGGTGGGGGCAACCTTGGTGAAAACCCGAAAGGGCGCCAAGGTAGGGTTCTGCAACGAACGAGTACGAGGAGGAGCAGTGGTGACTTGGTTCATTCGGATTTCTTTTCGTTTTTGTAACATTTCCGTCAATATTGAATTCCGGAACAAAGATATCCAGAGATTCGAATATGACATCTGTTGGCCAAAAGCTGTGTTTCACTTTGAATAGATAATCTTTTGCTAATACATTCTTTTCAAATTCATTTTCCCTCAAATATTTGTATTCATGACATTTTCATGGGTTTAGGCATGATTGATCGCGTTTGCGTCCTTTTGCATACTCATCCCTGCATGATATGTGAATTTCTTTTACGTGCATTATTTTTTCTGCATCATCGAATTTTAGTAAAATGACAATCCCCGTGATTTGTGCAAAGCATATGATTGGATTCAGTCATCCTTTGGAAATGATCGCGATTCAGCGGGGCCCGGTACACAGATCTCACAATGTGGCTAAAGGCATGCTTGGTCAGTCTGAGTAGAATCAGAAAGTCTTTGAAGTAATAAATCAACTAAATCAGATACCACAACAAAAGTTGACAAAGGCATCAAAGGACTCACGTTTACACGAGTCTCAAAGGGAACCGGATCAAATGATGGTGGCAATTTCTTTATTCTTTCACTTGTGCAGGAAATTTCATGCATAGAGGGAAACAAACACATCTCACACTGGAGTCGGTATCGGAAAGTTTTCCGGCAAACAAAGGTGGATTGGACAAGTTGCAAGCAAGTTCGTCAAAGGCACAACCAAACGGTAAGCATACTGGAACTTTTCCAACTGACAAATTCATGCCTCGGGTCAGTCCCGATTTTAATTTTTCTGTTTCGCCTGTTTCGGGTCAGTCCCGATTTTAAATTTCTGTCTCGGGTCAGTCCCGATTTAAAATTTCTGTCTCGGGTCAATCCCGATTTTAAATTCCTGTTTCGGGTCAGCCCCGATTTTAAATTTCTATTGGGGTCAGTCCCCTCGGGTCAGTCCTGATTTTAAATTTCTGTTGGGGTCAGTCCCCACGGGTCCCGATTTTAAATTTCATGTTGGGTCAGCCCCCTCGGGTCAGTCCCGATTCCAGTCAGTCCCGATTTTAAATTTCATGTTGGGGTCAGTCCCCTCGGGTCAGTCCCGATTTTAAATTTCATGTTGGAGTCAGCCCCCTCGGGTCAGTCCCGATTTTAAATTTCTGTTGGGGTCAGTCCCCTCGGGTCAGTCCCGATTTTAAATTTCATGTTGGGGTCAGTCCCCTCGGGTCAGTCCCGATTTTAAATTCTCTGTTGCGGGTCAGTCCCATTTTAAATTTCTTGTTCGGGTCAGTCCCGTTTAAATTTTCTGTTTGGTCAGTCCATTTTAAATTTCTCGTTTGAGTCAGTCTCATTAAAAGGGGTCAATCCTCATTTCAAAAGCGTCAGTTGTTCAAAATAGCTGCGGCCGAATAACACAGGTAAGTATTTGGTGTCTACTTCTTTGTCTCAAATTTTTCCAAAACTCAGACAAAAAGGGACAAACTGTAGACACCAAATTTTAAATATTTTTTATCCTAATTTTATTTTTAATTTTTTTAGTAGTAATTCTTACCTATTATTTTAATTTCATAATTTTAGTTCTTAAACTTTTAACATTTGTATAGCATTTCAGTATTTTTAGATTATCATTATCTATTATCTATTTTTTATGCTTTATTTTTGCATTCATTTTCGCCCTTTTGGCTGTTTATTTTTATTATAAGACTTTTTAGCATAAAATTTGGTAAAAGAGAAAATTATTCATGAAAATAAGTTTCATTTCTTTTTATTGTTTATTAATCGGAAAAAGGGAAAAATCATTAATCAAGCACAAGAAAAATCTTAGTTTTTTGTTTTTATCTTTCGTTACTGGTTTTGTGCATTTTTATTTAAATTATCATTTTTGTAATGTTGTTTAATTAAAAAAAAAAAGGGAAAAATCCATGTTTTGGTTTCGGCTGCAGCAGAAAGAAATTGCAGCCGCAGTTCTCGGCCATTTGGCCTTGGTTTGGCTCCGTCCGATGATCACAGTACAGACCACCTGGCTTAGTCTTGAAATCTCAATGGTTGAGTATCAAGAACCATCAGATGGTTCCCCAAAATGCAGTCGACTTCATCCAAACCATTGCTGAGAGGGTTTAGTTTTCTGGGGCCATATAAAAGAAAGGAGCGACGGCAAAGAGTGGAGAGGTTTTTTGGGATGACGGCTGGGGTTGAGCAGGGAATCCAGAGAGGAAAAGAAAAGGACGAAGGAGAATAGAGAGTTTTGGGGGGTCAGGAAAAACTGAAAAAAAGCAAAAAGAAAAGAACGAGAGGGATAGGCAGAGAGCTTGGGAAGGAAGAAAGGGCAGGCTGTGGACGGCTGGAAAAATCTGGAGGGAGGAGTTGAGGGCCGAGAGGGGGAAGGACTAGGGAGGAGCGGCTAGGTTTAGAAAAAAACAGAGCAAGAGTGAGGGATAGAGAAAGCTTACGGTAAAAAGAAAGAGAAAACTGAAAGGAGTAAGCAAAAAGAAGAACAAGAAGCTGCGGGGGAAAGGGTAACAGAGCAAGGAAGAAACCAGGAGGGTTTTGAGAGATTAACTTCTGCTCGTTTTCTTCGGACTCAACCCTGCCCAAGAATCATCATCAGGTAATCATAACTCCATTTCTTGTTCATTCTAATTCTTGAACGAAGTAGAATACATGAAAGCTGTGCCTTTTCGGTTCTTATTATTGCTTGGCATGACTTTATCTTTCGATGGATAATTTTATCTGGGGTGGGAGATCTGAGGCACTAATTTCATGTTGCTGTGCGGATTGTTGATGGGATGTGGTTCTTATGGGATTTGATTGATGGCCATGTGAATCTGGTTTGAATGTTGCCAGCATTCTTGAGATTGAATCCGTTGCTGCTGTTTTCTTGCGTTTTCCCTTGCATGTTAGATGGTCTTTCTGCTCTTACCACTTGGTTTCTAAAATCTGTTTTGCAACCCAAGAGACAAACTATATCTGCCCCTTGTTGCGTTCCGTCTCACACTCTCTGTTTCATGGCTGGATTTTGTTATTTAAGGAAGCTTTAGTTTTTTCTGTTTTGGCTAAGAAATTCGTGGTCTTGACCTGGGTTTGGGGACAGCAATTTGGGGTCTTGTAAAGCTTTTCCCATCCCAGGTTTTCCTTCCCCTTGTATGATATTCTGGAGGGTGAGTTTGTAGTACTGGAAGAGAACTTGGAGTTTAGTTTGTGTTGCTGACTGTTGTACGTGAGGTTGCGCAGGTCCCTGAAGCATCAGAAATTACAAATGCTATTTAGTCTTTGCATGCTTTTTTTGTTCTGATTTCCTTTTTGTGTCTAAACTAAGGGAAATGTCTAATGATCCTGTCGCCTAGGTTCAGTTTGTTTTGTGCATGAGATCTGCTGCAACAAGCTCAAAGCTCTTGGTCCTGTTGCAGCAGCGTGCGCAGCCCCTTTTCCTTAGATTGCCGCAAGTTTCACCTTTTCTTTTGTTGCATTTTATGCCCTGCTGTTTCAGTCAGCTTATGGGGGTTAAATGATTATGCTTGGGGATGTTAAATGACAATAAGTTGAAGCTGCAAAAAAAATTCGCAGCAAAGTAAAAAAAGCTGTTGTATTTTTCTGTGCTGTTTTTCTTCTCCGTGGCTGGTCTGTTCAGTTTTCATACT